CTCCCAGCTGAATGTGCTTCAGCTTAGTGTGCTTCAGGAGGTTCTTTCATATTTATTGAATGGGGAGAGGAAACTGATTCTAATTAATAAAAATTACATGTAAAAACAGATACACTTGCCACTGGCAGCAAGAAAATCAAAGTCCTGGAAAAAAATGCAGCAAAACATGGCTCACATTTTGTGCCTTGCTCTCCCGTCAATTTTCTTCTGTTTTTTAGACAGATCATTCCTGGGATGCATACTAAAGTGTTGGAAAATCAGGGGATAAAATGATCTCTGCTTCTTTCGTGAAGTGCCCCCTGCCCCAAGCATTATTCTGGCCCGTGGTCTTGGCAGGATGTCAGCTGATGGTCTCGGGTGGTCAGCCCTTGGTCTCGGAGCAGGTACCACCATATTCTTCAGTACAGCATGTGTGTGTGCATTGCACAGTAGTCAACAGAGATGGACGGGGCTGGGGAGCATGTCAAGCGTCTCTGAGAATGCTATCGCTTGGAGGCCTCTGGCTGGGTGAGGAAGTCTGAGCCCAGGCCCTACTTCAGATGGACCCCAGTGTGCTCCCACGCCCTCCGGGGAATCGCCTGCAAGGGTGCCCTGCCAGGAAGCAAGGCCCAGGGTAGTATCAGATGGAGTCAGTGCCATTGAATCAGCCCAGTGATTGTCCTCAGGGAGGCAGCCAGGGAAGGGAGCCTGACCCCCAGTGGGCAGGGAGACCCCAAACTGTCTCCCAGGTTGCTCCAGCCAGAGGGTACTGCCCCTCACCAGGCTGAGCCTGGCCTCAGTGTCACACTAGGCTCCTCCAGAATAACCCCAGAGCCTCAGGACTTTGGCATCAATGGCTCCTGGCCTGGGCTGCAAGCTCCCCCAAAAGAAGAAGGGGCTGCCCTAAAGGGTCCTCAAGCCCCAGTATCCTGCCCTAATTGGCCCAATTGGCCCAGTCTGGCCCAGGGGCCTATCTGGGAGATGCCCTTTCCACATAGGTGTGGGCTCAGATTCCTAAAACTGTGTGTCCCCAGCAGGCCGTCTGCCCATCTGGGCCTCAGTTTCCTCATTTGGAAAGTAAGCTGGCTGGATGACGTCACATGGGTGGAGGCATGGCCTGGTCCTCAGTGGCTCACAGGCTGCATATGCTCCTATGTGACTGTGCACAGGAAGGGACAGCCAGCCTCATACACAGGCGAGTCACTGGACGCTTGGGGAGGTTGGCAACTTGCCTGAGGTCACCTGGCCAGACAGAAAGGGTTCCAGGAACTCAGACTTCACACTCCAGGACAGCTTGCCTACTGCTGCCCCAGGGTTAATTCTTGCCCTTCCTCAAATGAGTTTCAGTAATAAGATGGATTTGCGGCACCAGCCCCTATACCACACACCGGGACCGTCAGTGCTGGGCCCTCCCACTCCTGCGCTAGTAAACACTGTCCCCCCATGCCAGTGGACACGGACGGCTGTGGCCTCCCCACCAGCCTGCTCAGTGCCTCCCTTAGAGGATGTGGCCTGCAGCTTTGGGGTCATCGGTTCATTCATCTCACAGGCATCTGCTGAGTCCCTGCCAGGCATGGTTGGGCCCTGAGACCCAGGAATGAGTCAGAAGCGTGGGACCTGCAGGTTTCCCACCCCCGTTCCCTCTCCTTCCACAGCCCTGGTGACCTCCTTCCCCGACCCCTGTCTTGCTCCGGTAACTCTGGTTCCCGCTGCCTCCTTGGCCTCCTCCCCAGACGCCAAGGATGCTGGAGCCCAGAGTGTCCTCAGCTCCTTGCCCTTCTTCTCATGCCCCTCAGAGAACAGCACCTGCTTTGCCAGCTACCCACCAGGACCCTGAATTAGTTTTCTGTGGCTGCTGTAAGGAACTGCTTAAAACAGCAGCAATTCATTCTCTCACAGTTCTGAGGCCAGAAGTCTGAAGTCAGTATAACCTGGCCCAAATCCGGTGTCAGCAGGGCCTTGTCCCTCTGGAGGTTCCGGGGTATGGGGGGGAAACTTCCTGGCCCTTGGCAGCTCCTGGGGGCTCCCAACATTTCTTGGCTTGAGGCCACATCGCTCCAATCTCCAAGGCTGGTATATGGCATCCTCCCTCTCTGCCCATGGCCTCGTCCTCTGTGTATCTGCCTAATCTCCCTCCAGTCCCCCGAATAAGGAAGTGGGCAAGCTACTACACTCAGGACTCAGCCATCCCCAGAGCTGACCTAATCACACCTGCAGAATCCTTTTCCACCATGTCCACTACCATCACAGCTGCCAGGGATGGGGGCCTGGGTAACTTTGGGGGCCAGTTTTTTAGCCAGCCACAGACCTGGACGCCCACCTGGGTGCTGCCTCCTCCCTCCCATCTGAACAGGATCTACCCCACCACGGTCTGTCCGTGCTGTGCCTCAGCTCCCGCAGACCTGCCATTTGTCCCTGCCATTTGTCCCATGCTCTGGTCTGGACCACTACCCCTCTCCCAGATGCCTGCAGCTTCTTCCCCTCAGGACCCCAGAGCCATTTTTGTTCCACAGCCCATTTCCCCAAGAAACCCTGGGCTGCCTGCAACCCTCTCTCACTGGCCCCCTGAGTGGCAGGCCACCCGGCACTGTGCCCTTGATGCTCCTGTCTACCCACCTGGTCAGCTCTTCCCACCAGCTGTGCTCCATCCGCCTCCCCAGCCCTGGCATGTGCACTTTCCCCTGTCTGGAGCACTGATCCTCTCCATGATTCTGCCTGGCCAGCACAAAGGTTTTCGGTGGGTTTGGGTAGATGTCACCTCCTGCGGGAGGCCTCCTTCATTCCTGAGCCAGGCCTGATGCTGGGCTTGTGTTCCTCCAGGCCCTGCACTTCCACCAGCCCCTGCCTGTTAGCAGCACCGAGGCTTCCTGGTGGAGGGCCTGTGTCATCCACTGGCTTCTGAGGGCCCTGGCTGAGTGTGCTGCGGCACATCTCCATCCTCCCTCAATATACTTGACGCTAGGGGTAGCCATCAGCAGGCCCTAGGGGGGACACTGAGTGCACCTTGGTCACAGAGGCTCCTAGCCAGTGACAATGCTCACCAAGCACCTCAGGGGCCAGGGAGAAGGAGGGCAGCTCCTTTGCCACTCTGATCCCTGCCCCAGCCAGGATGATGATGTGGCAGAGGCCATTCAAGTTACTTTTCTGCACTTCCAGATGGCAGATGCCGGGGCTGCCCACTGGAAGGCACACTCCTGACTGGACAGGGGGCCCTAGCCAGTGCCAGCTAAGCTGGAGCATGGGTGGGTGCTGGAAATGCCAGCTTTTTTGATTTTCAAGAGAGTATGGAAATCTGATTGTTTATGTGAACTCTCCTGTTTCTTAAGTTTGAGCAACTAATTCAAGCTTTTAAAATCCCCTGCATGGGTCATTAAGCGTGTACGCTAACGGAAGCACTGAAGGCTGGACACAGTGTGAGCTTTCAGCGTGAGACCTTGGTTTATGGATAATGGACCAAAAGATAAAAGCGTGGGAGCTGGAGTGACCATGGGGCAGGTGGACCTGGCAGGGCCAGCAGGCTGGATGGCAGGGGAGGGCAGGGGAGGTGAGGGGGGGCTGCATCAGGTCTTGAAGAGAGAACACAGGTTTACCAGATGGCCAAGTGGGGGGTGGGGTGGTGGGGGAGGGAGTGGGAATTCCTAAGTTGATGGCATGGTGGGTTCAAGGGCTGGGGGGCTTGGCAGGGTGCACACAGCCCAGTGAGGAGTATGGGGTGTGTGAGCCACTGGGGGCCAGGACGGCAGGGCAGGCCAACAGCCTGAATGCCAGCCTACAGACAGCCTGAGTCCCAGCAGAAATGAGAACCCAGCGAGGAGTTTGCAGCAAGGGAGGGTGCTCGCTGCCCTTGGGGGTGGCAGGGGCACCTACAGTTTAGCTGCCTGTAGAGTCTGGGCTGGTGGCTGACACAGATGGGGGAGACATGAGGGGGGCAGTAGGGACTGACTGGAGCCAGCTGCAGGGGCGTGTGTTCCATCCAAGACCTGCAGTGGTCAGAGCCTGCGCCTTCTGAGGAAAGCTGGAATTCCATGTTCGAGACATGGAATCCATCATTCTGCGTGTTAGTTTCAGAGACATGGAATTCCATGTTCAAGACTTGGAATCCATCATTCTGTGTGTTAGCTTCAGAGACATGGAATCCATCATTCTGCGTGTTAGCTTCAGAGACATGGAATTCCATGTTCAAGAAATGGAATCCATCATTCTGTGTGTTAGCTTCAGAGACATGGAATCCATCATTCTGTGTGTTAGCTTCAGAGATATGGAATCCATCATTCTGCGTGTTAGCTTCAGAGACATGGAATTCCATGTTCAAGAAATGGAATCCATCATTCTGCGTGTTAGCTTCAGAGACATGGAATCCATCATTCTGCGTGTTAGCTTCAGAGACATGGAATTCCATGTTCAAGACATGGAATCCATCATTCTGCATGTTAGCTTCAGAGACATGGAATTCCATGTTCGAGACATGGAATCCATCATTCTGCGTGTTAGCTTCAGAGACATGGAATACATCATTCTGTGTATTAGCTTCAGAGCTTTAAAAATATTGTTCGGCCCAAATGGAACATGTCTGTGGGCAGATCAGTCACTGGCTGATCGTTTTCACCTTTGTCGTGGACTCTGGGCTCCCGGGAGCAGGGGTAGCACTTGGCTGCCACTTTGGTGGGTGCCCTCCTGGGGACACGCACAGGCCCACAGCCACACTTGAATGTTTTCAGGCTTCTCTGGAAGGTTACGACTTTATAAACACAGTAATTTTTCTGAAAGCAGAGAGGGTTGGCATACAGGGGTGGGACGACCCAGGCAGAGGCCCTTTCCTAGACAGGGTGGGAGAGGATGGGGGCCCTCTGGGGCCACACGTTCATTCCCTCCCGCCAGCCCAGGGTTCAAGCTGAGCACTAGCTGGGGTGCAGGGCAGGGTGGGAGGTACTGCCCAAAGGGGTCTCCTCGCTGCTCCCCTTCCTTGGTCTGCTCACCTTCCTTGGTGCTAGAAATCTGATTGTCTTGTGTTTGCCCCACAGGCTGGTCTGATCCGGACGGAGGAGGAGGAGTTCTTCATCGAGCCCTTGGAGAAGGGGCTGGCGGCACAGGAGGCTGAGCAAGGCCGCGTGCACATGGTGTATCGCCGGCCACCCACGTCCCCTCCTCTAGGGGAGCCACAGGCCCTGGACACAGGTGAGGCTACTGCAAGTGGGCAGGCTGTGTAGAGAGAGCCCTGGCTGAGGTCCTGGTCCCCAGGGGAGCATCCCAGAGACCCAGGCACCTCTCTGCTCAGCCTGCTGAGGCTGAGCCCTGGTCTCAGTGGCTCAGGAATGGGCCAGCTGCCTGGCTGACTTTAGGGTGTAGCAGGGCTTCTGGGTCTGGGGCCTCTGCTCTGGGTGCATGTGGGTGACAAACAGCCCAGGCACCTGTGCCTTCAGGTCTGGGGCCTCCGTGGTGCGCTACAAAGGCTGTCCAAGGGTCCATCTTCTAAGGGTGAGCAAGTGCCATGGAGCAGGGGAGGCCCAGACCAGGTCTCAGTCCAGTGCCTGTGTCTCTGAGTCTGCCCACGAAGAGGACTCCGGTGCCCCAGGCCATGCCTCTCCTGCCTCTGTGTGGCCGTGGTCCCTGGGGTGGTGCCTGTGGTAGGTCCCAATCTTCACCTGGCTGCTCAGGGAGAAAGGCCCTGTGTGCTCTTTCTGGATCCTGGAGGCGTATGCCCCACAAAGACTCTGGAGGTCCTCCCAGCAGCCTCAGTAGTCTCTGCACAGACTCACTGGCTTCTGTCTTTTTCAACCCAGAACCCATGTGTGCTCTGGGCCCAGAAACGTGAAAGGAGCTGCCAGGTGGCCATGGTGACAGTTCCTAGCTGTCGCCTTAGATCTGGCCTCACTGTGCCAGCCCACACCTCCCTGCATCCCCCAATCTCTGGTCCTGGATTATGGTGAAGCCAGGGTCGGGGTCTGATGTGGTTCTGCAGGCTCATAGTTCTCAGGGTCCTCCATGTGGTCAGGGCCGCCTGGCCTTGGGGAGTGGGAAGCTGTGAGCTCAGCCCTTGGCCTCCAGTCGCCCAGAGTCAGGCATACCTGCATGTTCACAGAGAGTGCTGCAGGGGCCTGAGCTGGGCCAGCCCCCGGGCTGTGATTGACTGAGCTACTCCTGTCACTCCACAGCAGCCCTGCCTCATTTACTGTAGGTCTCTCTCACTTCCTAGCTTAACAGATAAATTTGGTACAGCCTGGCCAGGGCACAATTCTAATTTCATGAAATGGCATCAGATACCTTTGCAAAGAAATTGGTCCATCAGGAAGCACAATGTGCTCTGGAGCCAATCAGTGCAACCAGTGGCCCTTATTCCCTGGTGACAAATCGGCACCTGCTATGCTGCAGGCAGCTGGGCCACCGGCCACTGCCTGCCCAGCCTTTTCTATCTGTAGTCTCAGTCTCGACTACCCATTCCCACCATTGGGCTATTCTGCAGGAAAAAAGGGGAGTAGTCAAGGAGGACAAACATAAAATGAGGCTGAGAAAGTGCCCCAGACCTGGGGTCAGGGCCCCAGTTTTGCTCCTTGCTAGCCTGCAGCCTTTAGGCAAGCCCAGTGGGGGTTGCAACCCCTGTGTCCCTGAGAGCTCAGGGGCTGGCCACTTGGTGCTGTGGGCTTGGTGCTTCTGGGCTGGCCTCTCCTGGAAGATTCACGGTGGTTCTGGGGGCCTCTGCTCAGGCAGGATGAGCTGGCTGGATGCCCTTTGTCATGTCTCTGATCCCACATTCCATATGGCACTTGTCTTCTTGAACATGGCAGCCCTTCAGCCCACAGCCTGGCCGGCCTTGCCTTATTTTCTGGACTTCTGGTGTTTGGCATCTTCTACTGAATCTTCCCTCCCCCCCGACCCCCAATCCACATATCTTTAATGAGAACTTGAAATTCAGAACACAGGAAAGGAATTTCAAACTCAGAATAAGCCAGAAACCATTGGTCTTAGAAGATGCTGGGTGAGGCCAGCTGCCAGGTCAGGGGTGAGGCTAGGCTAGAAGGTGCGGCTTTGGTAATGGGCTGTGGGGGAGGAGCTGAGCCTGTCCAGCCTGAACTCTAGGCCTCCGGCCCAGGCTGCAAGCCCGGGGTCTCCAGCTGAGAGCCCAAGCTGTGGGTATGGGCGTGGGTCTGGGGCTATAGATCCAGATCCCAGGCCTGGGGGCTGGGGCCAAGTCCCCTATGCCAAATGTTCCTGTCTGGTGTCGGCATGACCCTGCGTGAGGGGCTCCGGCCTTCAACGAGCTAGCCCCTGCTCCACGCATCTAATCATTCCCGTGCAGCCCTGGGCTGAGGTGGACACGCTGGCTGGAAGGGCACCAGACACAGTGAGTGCTGGAGCTGGGTGGAGGGCCCACGGTGACCTCAGGTGTCCAGCTTTCTATCTGCCTGGGCCTTTTCAGGGCCCAGAGTGGCAGCTGGGAGATACATATAAGCTGTGTCCTGTGGCCAGGCATGGTGATGGGCACAACCTGCCTGGCACAGAAGTCCAGGACCTGGGTACAAGGCTGTGTGTGTGTGTGTGTGTGTGTGTGTGTGTGTGTGTGTGTGTATGTAGGGGACCCTTTCTTCTTGTGAATTCTGAGAGAACCCTGATATATCAGTGAGGCCCTGACGGAAGCTGGCAGGAGATGCTGGCTGGCAGTTTCTTCCTGCCTCCCCAAAAGCAACTTCTGGAAGTGACTGTGAAGCACCCTGCTCTTTATCAGTGGGATGTTCTGCAGGGAAGGTGACACACCTACCCTGGGTGTCCCAGTGTGGGGCGGGCACCTGTCTGGGTGACAGGATCTCCCTACAGGGCTGGGGATGCCTCTTCCTCAGGGTTGCTGAGACCGATGTCCTGTTTTCCTTGAGAAGCCCACGGGCTGCCCAGGGTAATCTTAGGGGCCCATGGAGCCTAAAGGAGTCATTTTCACTAATAGCCCCTGTCATCCAAGATCAGTTGCTGGGTTGCAGATTGCCTGGGGAAACAGATGAAAAATGACAGTTTTTACACATTTCACAGACTCAGGCAGTAGGTGAGTGTGTGCGTTGGGCAGCTTAGGCATACCAGTGTCACCCTCTGCTCAGGAGAGGGTGTTAGGAGGGGCAAGGGGGCGAAGAAGTGAGGAGGGTCCTTTTCTCTCCTCTCCGGCCATGCCTGCCTTGGCAGAAGGCTCCTGCTCAGTGCTGCTGGCCTGGGAGCCTGGCCGGGACCAGAGGCAGAGCTCTGAGGCTGGGTGGCCTTTTGGCAAGAGGTGGCTGAGGTGCTCCCCAGACATTCTGACAGGTGTCTGGAATCCCTGTTCTCTGCCCTTCCCAAGACCAGCTCTGTGCCCAGGGACCCTGTGCTGGGGTGCAGAGGTGGGTGCCCTGGGGCACTGTCCTCTCTTGTGTGCGAGCATCTCATTCTGTGTGGGGCTGTTGAGGAGGGAGCACCAGGGAGCTTGAAAAAATAGAAATGTTCATATGATTTGTCTCTCTGTCTCCACGTGAATCTCATCTTGTAACTCCCATAATTCCCACATGTTGTAAAAGGGACCCAGTGAGAGATGAATGAGTTATGGGGGTGGGTCTTTCCTGTGCTGTTCTTGTGATAGTGAATGAGTCTCATGAGATCTGATGGTTTTAAAAACAGAAGTTGCCCTGCACAAGCTCTCTCTCTTTCTCTCTTGCCTGCTGCCATGTGAGATGTGCCTTTCACCTTCTGTCATGATTGTGAGGCCTCACCGGCCATGTGGGACTATAAGTCCAATAAACCTCTTTCTTTTATAAGTTGCCCAGTCTCAAGTATGTCTTTATCAGCATTGTGAAAACAGACTAACACAAATGTATTCTCTCACAGCTCTGGGGCCAGAAGTCTGAAATGAGTCTCACTGAGCCAATATGAGCAGGGCTGTGCTCCCTCCAGAGGCTCCAGGGGAGAATCTGTTTCTAGCCCGTCCCAGCTCCTAGGGGCAACCAGCCTCCCTTGGCTTGTGTCCACATCATGCCAATCTCTGCCCCTGGGTCATATTGCCCCTCCTCTTCTGTCGGTATCACTGTGCCTTCACAGAGAAGCCAACCCTGATGCTGACACTGGGGGCCTGTCTTAGCCTTCCAGAGACTGAGCTTGAGATTCTATGCAGGTTGCCACACAGTGAGAAAGATCCCGAGTCATGCGTTGGGCATCTGGTCTCTGTTTCAGACACATAGTGCCATCTGCAGAAAGTCAAGACAAGAGCTGCAAACTCAGAGGCTTGCAGGGCCTGCCAGGCAATGCCAACAAGGATGGCGGTGGAGGAAAAAAAGATAATTGCACCCACCCTCGGCCTGGTTCATTTCCTTCCTTTTGATAGAAACATGGACAACCAAGAATACACCTCCACTAAAAACAAATAGCAGCAGGAATGCAGCCACACATGGTGTCCGGCCCCGGCCTTGCCATGGGCACAGGGCATCTGGGGGACCCTGCACGGAGGGACAGCCCCTCCTCAGCTCCTGTGACTTCAATCTGGTAGAAATGTGGGTCTGGTGCAGCTGAACATCCTATCAAGAGAATCTAGATATCAGAATTTTTATGTGAACTTTCCTGATGTTAAAATGTGGCTTCAAATTTCTGGAAAGAGAGGATGAACGGAGAGGGCTCCCGGAATCCCGCACTGAGGTGCTGAACTCAGTGCGTTGGTGACAGCTGACTTGGCAGGGCCCAGGTCAGCCCAGGAACAAGAGAGCCCCTATCACCCAGGAGAAGCCCAGGCCTCAGGGGTCTGGGAAGTCACTCAGGAAGTGCCTGGCTGGAGACACAGAGACAGGCCCAGGCACAAGGACGCTGGCCAGGTCCAGGGCTCAGGCTGTAAATCCAGCCAAAGGCCTCTTTCCACAGAGGCCATCACATCAGCTCTCTGCCTCCAGCCCTGCACACCCAGTGGGAGCTCTCATGCCTGGAGTCCCCTCCCATGCCCACTATATGGACCAATCACAACACAGCCCCCCATCGGCCACCTGTGCTTTCTGTGATGCAGAGGCGGAAGCATCCTCTGTCCTCCTCTGTGGGCTGCTTTCCCAGGGCTCCCCTGGCCTGGCTTTGGGACAGAGGAGGGGCAAGTGCTTCCCATCCTGGGGAACTGCTACCAGGCTGCTGTGCCGCATGCCCCGCTGGGCTGAAAGAAGAGAAGTCAGACAGCTCTGTGCCAGTGACCTTGG